GTCTCGCCCCTGTCCCACCCACCCAGCCCCTGCCTCCTTCGCCCCAATGGGCACTGGTCAGTAAGTGCCCTGGAGTGATCACCCCCGTCGGTCCCCACCAGGACTTCCGGGAGAAGAACATGGACTACATGCGGCCCGACATCGTGGCCCTACTGCGCGGCAGCGACAGCTCGTACGTGCGCGAGCTCATCGGCATGGACCCCGTGGCCGTGTTCCGCTGGGCCGTGCTGCGGGCGGCCATCCGGGCCATGGCCGTGCTCCGGGAGGCCGGGCGCCTGGCCTGCGGGCGGAGAGGGCCGAGAAGGCTGCAGGTAGGAGCCGGGGCCACTGCGCTCCCATGGGCGTCCCTCCCGCGTTGGCATCACTGTAAAGCGGGCTCAGACCATCTTTTTTTTAATTAATATTTTTGCCATAGCGTAAGCAGCAGGTGGGTGGTGGTGAAGACCCTAACTCCTGCATGATAGAAGGAAGTTCGAGTCCAGGGTCAGGCTGCTTGTTTCCTCACTTTTTTTCCTCTTTCTCTGGTCAAATTAAAAAATGATAATATTAAAATTAAATTAAAATCGTTCTACAATTTTTTGGGGGGGGAATGAGGATTTTGCTATAGGGCACAAGTGCTTGCCAGAAAGACAGAAAGACAGAAAGCGAGAAATCACCCCCCAGGGGGGATGGCCACACCACAATCCCTTCTCCTCCATTCTCCTCTCGGGATCTTGGGCACGCACGCACACGCGCCCGATGTGAGTTTAAGCCACCAGGTTCGGGACTCGAACCACAGTCAACTACGTGGGATTCCAGCGACATAGCCATCATGCTAACTGCTGTTCTCTTTTATCTTTGCTGTTGGGCACAAGAGAAAGCTAGAGGGAGAGAGATGGAAAGTGAGAAATCACCCCCTTGGCGGGGGCAGGGGCAGATGCCCATGCCACAATCCCTTCTCCATTCTCTTCTGGGGACTTCAGGCACACACACACACACACACACACACACACACACACGTCCATTGTGTTTACGCTGTCGAGTCTGGGACACAAGCTGTGGGGTCCAATGGATCCACCATGCCACCTGCTGGCCCAGTGCTCAGACCACCTGTCATAGGCCCAGCTGCTGCTTCACAGGGTGAGGCCAGGTGGGAGGCCCAGGTTCAATTCCTGGCTCACCCTATAGGCCGGTGCACCTGATGGTGCAAGTGGCGGTCGGTGGGCAATGCCGGAGCCACGTGGGCAGCCTAGGTTCGAGTCCTTGTGCACCTGAACACCCCAGGGATACGCTCCCATACCTGTGATCCTGGCTGGCTAGGGGGAGGGTAACTGTGGTGACACCTGTCCAGGGTGACTGTTTCTCTCTCTCTCTTTCTCTCGGTTATGAAGAATGAAGTCAGGCGGGAACCAGCAGTTAGCATAATGGCTATGTCGCTGGACTCCCACGTAGTCGACCGCGGTTCATGTCCCCAACCCAGTGGCTTAAAACCCACGCCGGGCGCGTGTGTGTGTGCCCAAGATCCTAGGAGGAGAATGGAGGAGAAGGGATTGCGGCGTGACCATCCCCTCTGGGGGGTGATTTCTCATTTTCTGTCTCTCTGTCTCTCTCTGTCTGGTGACCGCACGCGCCTTATAGTAAAAAACCTCTCAAAAGAAAATAAAAGAAAGAAGTCAGGCCAACTATGTGATACATTTATTTATTTATTTACTAATATAATAAAAAGGGGGAAGGGGGGACCAGCAGGTGGCGTGGTGGTTAAGGCACTGGACACTCCCACATGGCCGACCAGGGTTCAAGTCCTGAATCTCTCCTGCTTTCTCGCTTCCTCTCTTACTCTCACCCTCTGTCTCTCTCTGGTCAAATGAAAATTAATTAATTAATTAAGTTAAATACAATAATCCTTTTTAAAAATATATATATATAATTAAAATTAGTTATTAAAGAAAAGATTGCAGGGACCAGCAGTTAGCGTAATGGCTATGTCGCCAGACTCCCATGTAGTCGACCGCGGTTTGAGTCCCGGACCTGGCAGCTTGCTTTCTCACTTTCTATCTCTTTCACATTCTGTCTCTCTCTCTGGTCAAATGAAAATTAATTAATTAATTAAGTTAAATACAATAATCCTTTTTAAAAATATATATATATAATTAAAATTAGTTATTAAAGTAAGGATTGCAGGGACCAGCAGTTAGCGTAATGGCTATGTCGCCAGACTCCCATGTAGTCGACCGCGGTTTGAGTCCCGGACCTGGTGGCTTAAACTCATGCCAGGCGCATGTGTGTGTGTGCCCAAGATCCCAAGAGGAGAATGGAGGAGAAGGGATTGCGGCGTGGCCATCCCCCCCGGGGGGGTATTTCTCGCTTTCTGTCTCTCTGTCTCTCTCTGTCTGGCAAGCGCACGCACGCCCTATAGCAAAAACCTCTCCCCCCAAAAAATAAATAAACAGAGTAAGCATTGCAGTCCCTCCAGAAACGACAGAAGGCATTGAGCTCTGGGAGACCCTCCCTGTCACATCCGCTCTGTGTCCCCAGCAGGTACGGACAGTCCCAGCGCCCAGAGTCACCCAGTAGAGCTGCCTAAAGGAGCCAACACCCCATCGGAAAAGCTTTACCGGTAAGTAAGATCTCACTCTGTCTACACCATAGCCGTCAGGTGGCGGCACTGTTTCCAACAGTTCAGGGAAGCCTGTGCCCTAAACCCAGGTCAAGATGGCCCCGAGTAAGTCTCCCAGCGGCTGTTCGCAGCGAAGAGATGCAGAGTTTCTGGCATCTGGTCTCTGCTACTCTGCACTAGAATGACAGCGTGTCATCTGCCCAGGAGAGAGGCGGGTCAGTTCAGTTTGCATAGGATTTTTCTTTCTTTTTTTTTTTTTTTTTTTTTTTTTTTTTTTTTGAAGTTTGCCAGGAGACAGGTACACTCGCCAGAGAGAGACAGAGAGAGAGAGAGAGTGAGAAATCACCTCCCAGGGGGGTGACCCATGTTGCAGTCCCTTCTTCTCCATTCTCAAATTAGAATTTTGGACATAGACACACACGTGCTTGGGGTTTTATCATTTTGTTTTGTTTTTCAATAGTTATTTATTTTATGTCATTCCATTTGGTTCGGTTTGTTTCTGTTGATTTTCATTTATTTATTTATTTTAGAGAGGTTTTTGCTATAGGGCACGTGCACTCGCCAGAAAGACAGAGAGAGACAGAGAGACAGAAACTAAGAAATCCCCCTCCGGGGGAGATGGCCACACCACAATCCCTTCTCCTCCATTCTCCTCTCGGGATCTTGGGCACGCACGCACATGGGCCCGGCGTGAGTTGAAGCCACCAGGTCTGGGACTCGAACTGTAGTCGACTACGTGGGAGTCCAGTTATGTAACCATTCCAGCATCTGCTGGTCCCCCTTTTTGCTTAATTTGACCACAGAGACAGAGAGACAGAGAAAGGGAAAGTGAGAAAGCAAGACACCAGGTCCGGGACTCGAATCGCGGTCACCCATGTGGGAATCGAGCACCTTGAACCACCACACCACCGGCCAGCCCCCCCCGCATTGTGTTTTCTAAGCCGTCGGGTCTGGGACTCAAACCGCGCAGTCAGCCACATGGGATCCACACACCTTAACCACCACACCACTGGCTAGCGCCCAGAGAATTCTTTTTATGGCCAACAATGGTGGACGTTGGTGGGTGGCACCCAGGGAGTCCTGGCATGCACCAGGCCTAGTTAAACAGTACTCTCTTCTTTTTTATTTTTATTTATTTTAGTTTTTATGTTTTATAAGATTTTTTTTCCATAGGGTATTTGGAACTCACTGGAGAGAGACAGAAAAAGTGAGAAATCAACACCCAAGGGGGGGGGGTGACCACACCACATTCCTTTTCCTCTATTATTTTCTTGGAATTTGGGGCATGCACACACTCACCCAATGTAATTTTCAAGTCTCCAGGTCTAGGATTCGAAGCACAATAGGCCATGTGGGAGTCCAGCGCCTTAACCACCATGCCACCTGTTGGGCCCCCAAAGATATATATATTTTTTTTTTTTTGAGAGGTTTTTGGAGATGTTTGCTATGGGGCACGTGCACTCTACAGAGAGAGACAGAGAGACAGAAAGCAAGAAATCACCCCCCAGGGGGGATGGCCACACCGCAATCCCTTCTCCTCCATTCTCCTCTCGCGATCTTGGGCACGCACGCACACGTGCCTGGCTTGAGTTTAAGCCACCCAGTCCAGGACCTGAAATATGGTCGACTACATGGGAGTCCAGCGGCGTAGCCATTACGCCAATTGCTAGTCCTGGTATTTTTTTAAAAAAAAATTATTTTATTTAACTTTATTTATTTTAATTTGACTAGAGAGGGACAGAGAGAGAGAGGAAGGGGAGAGAAAGTGGGAAAGCAAATCTCCATATCTGGGACTCGAACCGCTGTTGTCCATGTGGAAGTCCAACGCCCTTAACCACCATGCCACCTGCTGGCCTTGCAAACGTGTATGTTTTAAATCAACTATTTTTTCAATCCAAAGGGGGCAAAAGAACAGAAGTGCATTACCCTATTGCCTTGTGTGTGTGGTGGGGGGGAGAATCCTTCCCCCAAAAGTGATCCCAAGGGGCCTCTGAGCCGCATCCCGCTCCCCAGGGCCTGACTCCCCAGGTCGGCGGGTCGCGCCCCAGGAGCGCGTTAAGTTTATACAGGTTCTCCCTTTCAGCTGCTCAGTGCTAGATTTCTCATTTGACTGCTCTGAGGAGTTCGATATTAACGCTTTTGAGGACATCATTGCTTTCTATGAAAGCAAAAAGTAAGTAGAAGCAAAGGGCCTTCGAACCCGAGCCCAGGGAGGCATAGCCAAGCGGAGCGTCCCACCTCCCCTGGGGACGCAGCGCAGGAGCCATGGAGATTCGGAAGCCGCAACTGGCGCTCCGCGAGCCAGAGATGCCCCAGCCTGCAGGGGGCGCTCTTGCCACATTTGGCCGAATCTCGAGCGGTGAGGGGTGGGGTGAAACGTTAGGCCTGGTTCTGAGCTGGGACAGGTCTGGGTGTGGAGGTGTAAGGTGACCTCTTGTCCTTGCCCTGTGCCTCCCTGGAGGGCGAGGCAGCGCAGGTAAGGGCAGCCGGTGGGGCACGAGGCATGGTGGTGCATGGGACACGGGGCACGGGCACCACCCATCGGGCGCGTCCTGGAGCACGGCCCGGAGCCGAAACATGCAACTGAAATCAAAAAGAATAAGGCATCGTTCAAAAAAAAAAAGATCATCACAGAACGGTCCCTGGCAGCAGTTCTGTCAAAGTCACTCGGGTCACCTAGAGTGTCTTCAGGTCCAGAGCGTTTGATTGACACCTCTAAGCCGTCTGGGTTAATTGAGCTGGTTTTCTTTTCTTTTTTCCTTTTTCTTTTTGAGAGGGTTTTGCTATAGGGCACATGCACTCGACAGAGACAGAAAGCGAGAAATCACCCCCCAGGGGGCATGGCCACGCCATAATCCCTTCTCCATCCTCCTCTTGGAATCCTGGGCACGCACGCACCCGCGCCCAACATGAGTTTAAGCCACCGGGTCCGGGACTCGAACCGCGGTGGAACGCATGGGAGTTCAGCGACGTAGCCATTACGCCATCTGTTGGTCCCAGCAGTCTTAGTTCTCATATACTAGTGACAGTCTGGGCCAGAACCCACGGTAGTTGAACAAAATGAAACACACAAGATTGACCTCTTTTTTTAAAGAAAAAGAAAATTATATTTTTCTGCTCTGGGGCTCATGTGCTCACCAGAGAGACAGAAAGCGAGACATCACCCCCCAGGAGGGGATGGCCACACTGCAATCCTTCCTCCCCCCATTCTCCTCTTGGGATTTTGGGCACACAGACACACACATGTGCCCAGTATGTTTTAAGCTGCCGGGTCCAGGACTCGAACCATGGGAGTCTAGCGACGTAACTGACCAGCCCTCTGCTGGTCCCAGTTTTTCCCGTGGAGACCTGTTAGTCGCCTTCTCTGAGTAGCCCCTTTAAAAATGCCACAAGGCTCTTCAAACAAGACCTTTTGCAGGGATCCGGGAGACTTTGTTGCAAAGTCCTCTTGTCCCAAAGCACAGTCCCCTGCGCCCCCAGAGCTGGGGACTGTGTCGCTTCCCTTCCAAACAAGGGAGGGAGGGACAGCTTCAAGTTTCAGCGACACCTCCAGCTGCATGCTTCAGCTCCAACGGCCTGGGGACGCCCCGATGGAGCTGAGGACCCCGAGGTGGTGGGCCTGCAGCTCTAACTCCATCTTCTCTCTGTCACTGCGTTTCCCGCCCCCCTCCCCACCTCCCCTCAGTGACTTGCATAATCAAATCATCAAGAGCCTCAAAGGATTGCCCTGGCAGGGCGAGGACCCCCGTAGGCTCCTCCAGTCCCTCGGTCGACTCCAGAAACCCCGCGCCTTCTTCCTGTGAGTCCCCCACTTCACCGTGGGCTCCCCCCCACAAGTGCAACGACCCCGTTACCCCCTCCTGCTCCCGGGACACCCCAGGGGACCTGCAGGCTTCTCTTGTTGAATGAAACATGGAAAAAAAAAAAAAAAAA